GGTTTGAACGGCCCTGACATCCACCGAACGGTAGTGGCTAAAAGTGCGAAAAATTCACGGTAAGTAAGACATTCTGGTGCACATAACGTGCAGACATGCAAGGGATGTGCTCATCTGTTTGTGAGCTTTCACCTCAAAACGAGTAGCAGTGGACAGGCACCTCCCTGAAGCGAGTGCAAGCACAGGAGCCCATCCGGGAAACCGCCTGAGCGCTCAGGCTGCCCGCGGTGGTGGGCTGCTGCTGCTGGGAGAGGAGCCAAGTGCCTGGATGTCTTCTCCGAGGGCAGCTCATGTGGCCTCCTGTGAGTCCTGAGCGGAAACCTGCGCTCCCAAGTGCTGTGACGTTTTGCGAGTGCTCGTGCCATGCTGGGGAGTCCTAATTAGTTACCTCCATTGTAATTCTATTGAGGCTGCTTCAGTGACCCAAAACCGGCATATGCTATTCATAACGGAGCTCCAGTCGACATGAGTGTTCTCTAGCAATGCAAGTGAAAGAGGAGCCAAACTTTGCAGCGTGAGGCTTTTAAGAGTGCAATCTGGCTCTTGAGGAAGAGGTGTGCTGCCCCTGAAGCTGATGGCAGGATTGCCCACTGACAGTCTGGATTTCCATGTGTTTGGCTTAAATGACTGAAGGCGGTAGCACTTTTCTGAGGTTTTTCTTTGTCAGAAAGATTGGTCTGCCACAGGGACCGAGGAAGGCGTTTGCTGCTTGGTGGAACAGCTGATGTCACCAGTTGCTTTTTGCCCCCTTGTCTGTAGTGGGGCATTTATTTCAGCACAGCTGTTTTGAAACTCCGAATTGTGGGGCTGCTTCATCTTAATGTGACTGAAAATGAGAAGGACATAATAAAGTTAGAGCTTTTCATTTAATGTCTGTAGAAGACATCTACTACATCCTACTTAAAATTGTCTACATAGTCTGAAACTAGGGGGGGTTTCTTTATTTAAAAGAAAAGCCTTTCTGGGGCATATAAATGAAAGCAAAACTAATTATGTAAAATGGATTTCTTGACTGCTGTCTGGGGATGAAAAATCTCATTCAGCAGATGACACTCGCAGTGTCCTTAAACTGTAAAAGCTGTGAGGATACTTTCCAGGAAACAAAGATGGGCTTCCAATAGGTGAAATCTACAGAGAGGACAAGGAAGCACGAGGACAGGTTTGGAAACTTCTTGAATTGTGCTGAGCAACAGTAAGACTCAAGATTCAGCTCCTGAGTATGGTGTGCAAGAAGCTGCTTCTACGCCTGTGGTTAAGCAGGAGACCGGGGCATCTGCAGCAGAACTGCAGCTCCTCATGTTGTGGGCAGCCCACCGCTGAGCCCCTGTGGACAGAGCAGTGAGGTCACTTGGGTGAAGCTGAGCCTGCACGTCGCCCATCAGCGGGAAGCTGCTGCTCTGAAATTTCTAGAACCTGTTCTGCAATGCTGTTATCACAGTTGTCTTCTGAATATGATGACTAGAAGAGACAGCCAAATGCAGATGTGTGGTGGCCCTGTCTCTTTAGGAAGTCACCAAAACACGTGGGTGGCAGCAAATGTAGATTTGACAGAAGAAATCCTTGCTGAATGTGGAACACTGGTGACTTGTTCCCTGGGCTGTACACTGCTCTAAGTCTGCTGTGGTTTATTGCTACATGGGATATAGTATGTTTAACTTCTCCGTTTCAGAGAAATCTAAATCCCAGTAGGACATGGGGATGATATGTAACCAAAGCACATAGTCAGGTTGACGCTCTTGGCATAAGGTTGAGGTCCCCTGGGATTAGTTTGGTTGAGCAAGAAGGAGGAAACGTTAGGCTCTCCGTGTAACAAGTGACCATGCTTAGAAGTCCTGACAGTGTTGCTTGGTGCCTGTAAGAAAATAGAAAATTTTGTGTGGGTGTAGGGGAACTGTTTCTCTGAAGTGCTTGGAGCACGTGCATGCTTTACCATTGGCCTCCGTGTGTGCAGTTGTCTCCTAGGAATCTCCGTGTAGGCAGGCAATGCAAATTAGCTGCGACTTCCGTTTCATCCATAGCTTTGGTTAGCAGTTCCAGCGTATCCTGCATTACTGGTTTGAACGGTAAGTCCTGACTAAAGCAGTTCACAGGCGGACAAAGGAAGGTTTCCGTTCTCCCTTTGGGAGGATGAGAGATTTGAAAAACAGATTAAAAAAAGAATGATAGGCAACTCCAGCGTAGTTCTAATTACAGTAGACGTGTTCAGGGTGCTAAGTACTAAATATCTGGGGAGGCAGCATATGTTTAGTGTTAGAAACATGAATTATGTTCTAGTAAATTTTCTTTGGTCTCTTTCATTCCTCCCTGTCTCTTGGATGCACGTGAGTGTCCTCCAGCTTTAGGACAGTTTGTTAAGGATTTTGGAAGTGATGTGAACAGGCTATTGGTGCCTCAAAACCCCTGATCTTGGCAAAGATACTGAGGTCATGGCCAAACCAAAGCTACAAAACTGAGGAATGCATGCAGCTCCCTGGGAAGGCCGGAGATATCGCCATTGACATTGAAAATGTTTGCAAAGTGTTAATGCTATTCAGCAGAATCCCCTGCATCATCGTGAGCAGGGACACTGAGATTTCTGTTCTGATAACAGTGTGTTTGAGTGATGTACCAAGTCCCATGCAGTGGGATTTTTGTCTTCCAGCAGCATGAGAAATGGCTGCTGCGCAGTGGCCGAATGCAGAGACACAGAGAGAATAGAGCAGGTCATTTCTCATCCTCTTCTCTCCCCTCACC